AAGGTCTCCGAGCCGCCGCCCTTCGCCGTGGACGGCGGCCGCGTCGACGGCGAGTCGCACATCGACTCGGACGCGAGCGAAAACTTATCCACCTTCTGGAAGAACGCCTTCTTTTCCTGGAGCTCCTCGGCGACGAGGAACGCGTCTTTGTCGTCGCGTCTCGCCGCGTCGCGCGCGCGGCGGTCCGCCCTGGACACGAACGCCGCCCTCATCTCGCCGTTCGCCGCCTTCTCCTTCTCCTCCGCGGCCTGGCGCTTCTTGATCGCGGTCCCGGGGCCGCCGCAGTCGCTGTCCTCGCCGCTGTCGAACGGGCCGTGGTACGACTCTTTGCTCATCGGCGTCGACGGCGCGTCCGACGCGGCGTCGTCGTCCGCGTCGCGCACCGTCAACTTTCCGAGATCCTTCGTGAGCGCGACGGACGCCGCGTGCGCGGCGAACGCCTTCTTGCGCCGCCGCGAGTACGTCCGCACGTTCTCTTGCGTCGGCTTCGGCTTCGCGACCGGGAGCGCGACGCCGAACGGGTCGAACGGGGCGTTATCGTCCCGCGGCGCGAGCGCGCTTCGCGCGAGGCTCGCCATTGTTTTCTCGCGAGAGATGCGGTGACGCGCGGGCGAGACGCCGCGACGGTCGCGCTCTGCCGCTCCCGCGCGCGAACGCGAGCGCGCGTCCGGGTGCGCTTTACGCCGTCTACGCGATACGCGCGCGAGCGCGGGGACGTCCGAATGCGCTTGCGAGCGAACGCGTGCGTTCGAGCCGCGCCAATGCCGGGAAACGCTCGAGCGCGCGTCGCTTTTCATCTTTCATCGTCCCCCCGCGATGCGCGCTCATCAGATGAGCTGCGACGCATTTCGAGGCTTTGAACGCGGTTTGAAAGCGAGATTCCTATGAGATTCCTTTTTCCCGCCTCTTTTGATCGGAAGCGCCGACCGGTCGACCGCGCGCTCGCGCCGATCTCGCGACGCGACTCGCGAATGTCGAGTTAAATTGACTCGACTATGAACCTGTGGCGATGGCGGCGCATCTTTTCGTCGGGATATTTAGACCAGACGGTTATTTTTAACTTTACAGGGGTTGGTGAGATCGGAATTTGCGGCGCGCGGATCTGCCACTTCCCGCGCGAGCCTCTCCTCGCGCGCACGCCTTTTTTTGGCCGTGCACAAAGGGAAACTCAGCCAAACATGGCCACCTACGCCAGCGAACCCGCGGCGGACGCGTTCATCATCCTCGTCTCGTTCATCGGGATCTTCTTCGCGCTGTACCAGTTCTCGCTCGTGCAGCGCGTCAAGCTCGTGGATTCCTCGAACGGCTCCGGGAATGGCGCGCCGCTCCTCACGTCCCTCGGCATCGACACGACGAAGCTCATGGGGATCTACGAAGCCATTCGCGTCGGCGCGGATTCTTTCCTTCGCGCGGAGTACACGATCTGCATGTACTTCATCGGCGCGTTCGGGATCGTCGTCCTCATCCTCACGTCCTACATCGAGGAGAAGTGGCACTTCGACGAGGGCGCCCTCACCGCGGTCGCGTTCGTCGCGGGCGGGGTGACGTCCATCATCTCCGGCCTCATCGGCATGAAAGTCGCGGTGTACGCCAACGCGCGCACGACGGTGTGCGCCGCGGGCGGTAACCCGTGGACGGACGCGTTTAACTGCGCGTTCAGGGCTGGCTCCGTCATGGGATTCGCGCTCTGCGGCCTCTCCATGCTCATCCTGTACTCCCTCGTGCACCTGTTCGCGTTCCACTTCGACGAGTGGGACACGAAAACGTCCGAGACGCTCAAGCTCATGGAAGCGCTCTCCGGGTACGGCCTCGGCGGCTCTTCCGTCGCGCTCTTTGGCCGTGTCGGCGGCGGCATCTACACTAAAGCCGCCGACGTCGGCGCCGATCTTGCGGGCAAGGTTGTCCAGGGCATCCCCGAGGACGACCCGAGGAACCCGGCGACGATCGCGGACAACGTCGGCGATAACGTCGGTGACGTCGCGGGCATGGGCTCCGATCTCTTCGGTTCTTTCGCGGAGGCGACGTGCGCCGCGCTCGTCGTCGCGTCGGCGTCGGAAACCCTCGTCTCCGAGGGGAAGTGGCCCGGGCTCATGTTCCCGGTGACCATCTCCGCGGGCGGCATCCTGGTCTGCCTCATGGTGTCCTTCGTCGCGACGCACATCAAGCCCGTGAAGAAGGAGGCTGACATCGAGACCGTCCTCAAGCTCCAGCTCGGCCTCACGACGCTGCTCCTCACGGGCGCGATCGGCCTCCTCGCGTGCATGTTCCTCCCGGAGGAATTCATCCTGTACAGGGTGGACGCGACCTCGATCACGTTCACGCCGCTCCGCGCGTGGGTCTGCACGTGCATGGGTCTGTGGTCCGGCTGCCTCATCGGCTTCATCACGGAGTACTACACCTCGCACTCGTACAAGCCCGTGCGCGAAGTCTCCCAGGCGTGCGAGACGGGGGCGGCGACGAACATCATCTACGGCCTCGCGCTCGGATACAAGTCCGCGGTGCTCCCGGTGTCTCTCCTCTCCATCGTGGTGTACGTCTCGTTCTACCTCGGCGACATGTACGGCGTCTCCCTCGCCGCGCTCGGTATGCTCTCCAACCTGTCCACCTGCCTCGCGATCGACGTGTACGGCCCCATCTGCGACAACGCCGGCGGCATCGCTGAGATGGCGGAGCTTCCGGAGCACGTCCGCGACGTCACGGACGCGCTCGACGCGGCGGGCAACACGACCGCCGCCATCGGCAAGGGCTTCGCGATCGGTTCCGCGTGCCTCGTCGGCATCGCGCTCTTTGGCGCGTTCATCACGCGCTCGCAGCTCACGATGACGAAGGTTTCTCTCCTCGAGCCGATGATTTTCGCGTCGGTTATCTTCGGCGCGATGATTCCGTACTGGTTCAGCGCGATGACGATGAAGTCCGTCGGTCAGGCTGCGAACGAGATGGTCAAGGAAGTCGCGAGGCAGTTCCGCGAGATCCCGGGCCTCCTCGAAGGCACCCCCGGGCACGCCCCCCCCGACCACGCGAAGTGCATCGAGATCTCCACGGACGCGTCTCTTCGCGAGATGATCGCCCCCGCGGTGCTCGTGATGACGACGCCGCTCGCGTTCGGAATCCTCCTCGGGAACGCCCCCGTCGCGGGCATGCTCGCGGGCGCGATCGTTTCTTCGATCCAGATGGCGATCTCGTCCTCGAACACCGGCGGCGCGTGGGACAACGCGAAGAAGTATGTCGAGAAGGGTTCCGTGTCCATCGACGGCGTCGTCCAGGGCAAGGGTTCGGAGCTTCACAAGGCTGCCGTCGTCGGCGACACCGTCGGCGATCCCCTCAAGGACACGTCCGGGCCCGCTCTCAACATCGTGATGAAGCTGATGGCGATCCTCTCCCTCGTGTTTGCGGACTTCTTCCTTTCCATCAACAACGGCAAGGGTCTGCTCATGCTTCCGCACTAAGAGAGACGCGCGGTGAGTAACATTTCATCGATGATTTCATTTCGACGACGAAAGCCGCCTCGTCGTCGCGGTTGGTTTCGAACGAGCCGCGACTGGTAACATCGAGCGAGCGAGCGCACGTCGCGAAAGTTGCATTTTTACGTATTAAGTTGAACCTTACTCTCATCTTCGTATTTCGCATTGTTTCGAACGTTGTTATAAAAGAGAGTCTAATAAAACACGACGACCGAGCCGTCGACGCTCTTCTTCAACTCGCGCAAAGCGCAAAAAACGAGACGAACGCCGTCGCGTCGCTCGTCGGCGGGGGTAGCCGCGCCGCTCCCCCCTGATCAGATGTATCCCTCGTCGTCGCTCGAGTCATCGCCGGAGAACGTCCCCGCGTCGGACGCGACCTCGAACGCGGCGAGATCGACCTGGTACCGCAACATGCCGCCGATCCCGCCGAACCCTCTCACGAACTGCGACCCCTCCTCGGACTTGTCCGTGACGAACTCCAACACGCACCCGAAATTTTTGTAGTTGTTCGCGAACCACTCTAGCAGGGACTCGCTGTGCGTGGACTCGAGGTCCTCGCCGGTCTCCTTGTCCTTAAAGTTCGAGTCGTCCTTCTCCTGCTCCTGGGTGAGGTTCACGATTTCCTCCACGTCCGTCGATTTGTTCAGCAACGTGTGCCGGTTCACCTCCAAGTTTTCCCAAACCAAGAGCGTCTCGATCGCGCCCATCTCTAAACACGCGAGCGTGTCCTTAAGCCCGAAGCAGTACTTCCCGCTGTCTTGGCTAATCTCGTCGAAGTACTTCCCGATGAGCTTCTTCTCCTTGATGAACTTCACGTTCCCGAGGACGTCCGCGCTGAGTTCAATCGCTTGGTTGAAACCGTTTTCGCCGCCGTAGGAGACGTCCACGATCATCAAGATGATGGGCTGCAGACGAATGTCGAACAAGTCGGACTGAAGGAGCTGGTTCTTGAAGTCCGCGGATCCGGCGAGGACGAGGCCGTTCACGTTCGGCTTATCAGCGGTGATGAACATCTGCGTCATCATCTCCGCGATCTTCCTGACGTAGTTCTGCCTCTTCTCGAGACGCAGACGCGCGAAGCGAAGCGCGGACTGCCCTCCTCTTCCGTGTTTCTTCGGCAGGTCCACGGACACCTTGTGCAACACCTCTCTGTGGTTCCCGTTCAGCGTTCCGAACAGCGAGCCGTGCCCATCCATGACGAGGAACCCGTACTTGTTATCGGACTGCAGAAGTTCGGACAGCGCCTCGGTGTGGAACTTGTTATCGCACAAGTACAGCGACGTGTTGATGGGCTTGAACGGCTCAAAGTCCATGTTCACCTTCTTCTCCTTCCCCTCATCCGTGAGCACGGTGCCGCAGTAGATGATGAGGCCGTTCGGGGGGACTTTGTTGTAGAGTTTCAGGCGCGTCTGCGCGGAGCCGATGGCGCCGAGGACGGACTGTCGGTTCACGCGCGACTTGATGTTCGACGCGGTTCCCATCTCGTCCGCGAGCATCTTCGACGTGAGGTTGATCTGTCCTTTCGGCGGGATCACGAGCGAGATCATCGACGTTCCGTTCCCTCGCGCTTCCTCGAGACCTTTCACGAGCTGATGACGTTCACGGGAAGCGAGGATGGGGGCGGGTTGGGGTCAGCGGCGTGCGAACGACGCGCGCGGCGGGGAGATCGAAAGCGAAAGAGGAGAGGGTCTCGGTCGGCGAGCTCAAATCGCCCGCGCGATTGCCGTGCTTTTTTTCACCGAGGCGCGCGGGTGGGGCGCGAGGACGACGGCGCGCACCTTGCGGATCTTCCACATCTCGATCTCCTCTTCATTCTCGACCACTTCCGTCATGGTGCCTGACGGTTCCAAGCACGTGCGGGGTACACCGCGTGCTGGTGACAGAGAGCGTCCGCGTCGCGAGCGCGTCGCTTATCACTCGAAAAAAGGGCGGCGCGAGCGGTCGGTACGTGTACACCAGCCGAAGCGCGAAGCGCGTGCAGTGCGAACGATGCTTGAGAGCTGATGAGACTTGAAATGTGAGATGTGAAAGAATCGATTCAGACGCCCGCCGTTGGGTGCGCGTTTCCCGCGCCCCCAGCATTACTAACGACATGACTAGTGCTCCTCCGTCCCGCAGAGTATGATCGCCATACCCGCGAGCATGACCAAGATGTACGGCAGCCGGTCCCTGATCTTCTCCTGGTAGAAGATCGCCCCGCCGAGCACGCTCAGTAAGATCCCGCTTCGCTTGGCGGCGATGGCGTACGACACGAAGAGGTGATCGAGCGCCTTCAAGAACGCGGCGACGACGTACATCTCCATAACGCTGATCAGGAGTAGAAACCCGATGTTATTCGTCACCGCGCGCGCGCACTTCCCAACGCCGGACTTGTACAGGCACAGACACACGAGCGGCGTCGTCATCACCGCGCGCTGCACGACCATGAACACGAGAAAACTCGACGCGAACGAGTATCCCACCTTGTCCGCATCCGCGGTGAGCGACCACACGAACGCGACGAAGAGCATCAATCGACTGCCGGGCTCCGCGGGCATCACGCACAGCAACGGTCTGAGGAGGATGGAGACCGCTCCTTTCTTCCCGCCCACCAAACCGCCGCCGCCGCCGCCGCCGAGCGGGACGCTCCCCGACGACGTCCGCGATAGGAGGCCCTCCTCGCTCGCGCGGCCGCGCTCGCTGCCGCGGCCTCCTTGGGGTGGAGTTGAAAGGCGTCAGAAGCGGAGTTGAAAGGCGTCGATGGCGGGGATTGAAACCGAGGGGTGGGCGGAGAGACACGCCGGCAAAAGTCCTTAAGGATCGGCGTTCACCACGCCGACGCGGTCGTATGGGGACCAGTGTGACGACAGAACGCACCACTGCCGCCGCGCGGATTGAGTGACCCGAACGACCCTTTGTTCGGCGTGAGTTTGCCGACGCCGACGGAGCCGCCTCCGGACGACACCTTATTTATACCCTTCCCCGCCTCGGCCGCCGCCGCCGCGGTCGGCGACGCCTTGTCCTTCTCTCTCTCGTCGCCCCCCCCGCCCGACTTTGCGACGTCTGATGATTTTCCCCGCGCGCTCGCCTTACATGACGCGCCGCCTGTGCCGCCGCCCGCGACGGCGTTCAACGCGTACGCTCCCGCGGCGAGGACGGTCACCCCCGCGACGCCGTACGCGTTCGGTTTCTCCCCGAGCGTCCAGTACGACGTGAACAGCAGCAGCGCGGGCGTGAACGCGAGGTACGGCACGGAGAGAGACACCGGCGACAGCGTCAACGCGCGCTGAAACAGGACGCTGCATCCAATCTTCGCGAGCCCGCTGAGGCCGGCGACGGCGACGAGTTGAAGATCCTCGAAGCCTCTTCGGACCGCGGGCGTCGCGCCGCGCAGGAGCATCGCGCACGCGAGGACGACGCAGTTTGTGAACTCCCAAGCGGTCACGAGCTCGAGGTTGCTGCTGAAGCGCTTGTTCTTCGTCCCGAGCTGCGGCGGAGGAGGACGGAGGGGTCGGGGCGTGATGATGATGAGCGCCCGTGTACGACGAATCGAACGAAGAGGCATCATCATGCGTCGACGGCGACGACGACGACGATCGAAGGCGCGCGAGTCGGGGTGCGAACCTTGCGGAGGATGTCCGAGCCGCTCTGCGCGACCGCGGCGGAGAACGCCCACGCGTACCCCACCACCATTTTCGACTTCGAGTTCCTCCCGCCGGCGTAGCGCGCGCGAAGAGACTGGCGCGTCCCGCGGCTTCGATCGATCGGCGTTCTGGAGACTGGCTCGATATGGCGCCCCCGGTTCCGCCACACCAGCTTTTCAAAAGTGCCGTTGGATGCAGAACGACGCGCGCGCGGGCGGCGTCGACGCGATGGGGCGCCTCGTGAAGAAGAGCGAGGCGCGCGGGGATATCGCCGGGAAGCAAGGCACGCTCTTCGGGTTCCTCACGTCGTCGCGCAAGCCCCTGGTGGACGTGAACGACAAGGTCGCGCCGTCGGCGCGCGGCGACGGCGACGAGAAGAATCCGGCGACGGACGCGGGCGACGTCCCGTCCTCCTTCGCGCGCGTCGTCGCGCGCGCGCCGCCGCTCGCGAGGGACGACGATCGCCGCGAGGATGACCCCGCGGAAGACGACGCGAGCGCGCGGCTCGCGATGCGCCCGCCGCCGCGCATGGCGGACGCGCTCGTGAAGATGGAGCGCGCGATCGAGGGCTGGGGAAGACTGTTCGCGTCCCATCGACGCGCGCGGCATCGCGACGACGCGGACGCGCTCGCCGCGTCCAACGCCGCGCGCGTCGCGTCGTCCGTGTCTTCACTGTCGTCCGCGTCGTACGAGCACCGCGTCGCCGCGGTCGCGTCCGCGCGGTGGCAGCGCGCGGGCGCTCGGTCGTGCATCGCCCATCGATGCCTGCGCGCGCGGGAGTCGCACCCGTCGTCGACGCGGCCGCGCGCATCCGGCCTCTCGCTCGGCAGAGAGACGGACGCGCGCGCGCCCGGCGGCGGCGCGGGCGGCAAGCGCGCGCTCGAGATGACCGCGCACGCGCTGATGTTCGACGCCGTGAGAGAGCTGGGCGTGTGCCACCTCCCGCGGGACCCGCGCGAGACGGACGCGGCGCAGACGTCGTCAGGTGCATTCTGGTTACACTGATCCCCATACGACCGCGTTGGCGTGGTGAACGCCGATCCTTAAGGACTTTCGCCGTCGTCTCTCTCCTCCCACCCCTCGCTTTCAATCCCGACACACCTCGGCGCCTTTCAACTCCATCTGACGCCTTTGAACTCCACCCCGACGTTCGCTTCGTATGGACAATTACCCTCAGCGGGCGACCCGGTGGCGTCGTGCGCGTACTCGCCGAACGGCGGGACGCACCTCGCGGTGGCGACCGCGCGCGGGCTGCTGTGCGTGCAGCGCGCGGATACCGTGCGCGTCAGCGATGGGGAGCTGTACGAGCCTTCGTTCGCGAGGAGAGGGCTCGGGAGCGGCGGGATCGGACGAGCCGGGAGCTCGCTGAGTTCCATCGCGTGGGGCGGCGGATCAGGCGGCGTCGCCGCCGTCAGCGGCGACTCGAACGCCGTTGAAGTCTTCGACGTGTGCGTCGGCGTGACGAAGCGCACGTTCTCGAGCGCGAATCAGATGGGCAGCGGCAGCGTGGGCGACGCCACCGGTCTGTTGGACGTGTGCTTCGTCGGCGACGGCGGGGACAAGGTGCTCGCGTCCGGTCGCCGCGGACGCGCGTTCCTCTGGGACGAGCGGTCCTCGGGCGGGCGCCCGCGCGCGGAGCTCGCGTGCGGCGGCAGCGACCACCGATCGCAGATACACGTCGTCCGCGCGTCCGCGGACGGGCACACCGTGTTCGCGGGCACCGAAGGCGGGTTCGTCCACGTGTGGGACTTGCGGGCGGGAGCCAAGGCGAAGGCGGCGGCGTTTAGCCTCGCGACGCAACAAAAAGTGTCCTACCCGCTCTTGAAGTCGATCGACATCGCGTCGCTCTTGAACGACGTCCCGATGCTTCGCGACGGCCCGAGAGGGAAGGTCACGCGGAGCGCGGTGTACTGGTGCGAGCAAGACCCGCTGGATCCGCGTCGGTTGGGGTTCCACCTCAGGAGCGGGGTGTCCGGCGTGATCGACCTCGCCGCGGTCGGCGGCGCGCGCGTCTCGCACGCGCACTGCCCGCCGTCGCCGTGGACGATCGCGGAGGACGGCGCGACGGTCGTGGCGTCGGAGATGTACGACGCCAACGCGCTGCGGCATAGGAGGACCGCGGCGTGGGTGGTGAACGCGTCGAGCGGCGCCGGGTGCGCCGCGCTCGCGGTCGGCGCCGCGGGGACGCGCGGGTTGAAATTTTTGGACGTCAGCCCGTCGCCGACGGCGCGGCATTGGGTCCACGGCGTCACCGCGGAGGACGTCGACGCGGACGAGTCCGCGGAAGCGGCGAGGATGGAGAGAGAGATGTTCTCGGAGATGGAGGAGAAGAAGCTCGCGGGCGGGGGGAACGCGATGGACGCGGAGCTCGCGATGGACGCGGGGCGTCGACGTCGACGCGACGGACGCGGACGGTGGTGGCGGGACGATCCGATCGAGCTCTCGGGGCCCGCGTTCGCGGTCGCCGCGCACCCGAACGAGCTGGGGACGATCGCCGCGGGGTCGTGGGGGTCGATGTGTCTCCTCGGGCACCGGTGAAGTACCCTTTTTAGCAGAGATGGAACGATTCGGGTAGCGAGCGATGGAACGATTCGGGTAGCGAGCGCGTCGAGATGCTGCGAGACGAAAACGAACGATGGAAACGTCAATCGCGTTTGCATGTCATCCTCCCTCGCCCACCCTTCAACACGCGCGCGTCGTCACGTCACGTCACGACGCTCGTCTAGCAGCACGACGACTTCGATCCGGAGCCGCCCTTTCCAGAGCCGAGCTTGATCCCCCCGCCGCCGGCGTTTTCTTTGTCGCTCTTCAACCGGTTTTTTATGTCCCGCGCGATTGAAAAGAACGCGTCCTCAACCTTCACGTTCGCCTTCGCGCTCGTCTCGAAGAACGGTATCCCGAACTCGTCCGCGAGCGCCTTCCCCCGCGCGTGCGAAATCACCCGCTTATCCTCCATGTCGCACTTGTTCCCGACTAAGATTTTATTCACGTTCTCCGACGCGTGTTGCTCGATGTTTCGCATCCAGTTTCGCACGTTGTTAAACGACGTCTCGTCCGTGACGTCGTAGGTGAGCAAGATGCCCATCGCGCCGCGGTAGTACGCCGTCGTGATGGTCCGGAAGCGCTCTTGCCCCGCGGTGTCCCATATCTGAAGCTTCACGCGCTTGCCGTCCAACTCCACGGTGCGAATCTTAAAGTCGATCCCGATCGTGGTTATAAACGACGTCGTGAACGAGTCGTCGCTGAACCGCAGGAGCAGGCAGCTCTTCCCGACGCCTGGCGGTGTTCGGATCGAAGGAGGGAGGATCGACGGTCGGCGCGAGGAGAGGCGAAGAGAGCGAACACGAACGCGACGACGCGACGCGACGTCAGATGCGGGGTGGGCGAAGCGAAGACGGACGACGACAGACGCGCGGCGCGATGGCCGCGGGCGGTTGGGGCCGGACGACGCGACGGATCTGACTGCGACGGCGAGACGTCGCGGCCGGCCGGCGGTCTTTTCGCTCGCGCGCGATCGCTCTGCTCTCGCGGGGGCGGGCACCGACGCGGCCGCGGCGAGCGCGCGTCCGCGAGCGCGAAGTCGGGCGACGGGACGCACCGCTGTCTCCGATGAGCAGAAGCTTGATGAGGTGGTCGTACTGCTGGTTCACCGCCCCCATCGTTCGCGACGACGCGACGCTCCGTTCGCCGCGGCGCGATTTCTTCCCCCCGCGACTCTAGTCGGCGGAGAAAAAAGATGCGCGAGGGACGACGCGGCCGGATCTGCGAGCGGCGGCGCCGTCGAACCCCTCTCGCGTTCACGCGTGCGCGCGCGCGTCGCCTACGCGCGTGATTCGTCGACTGCGCCGTGCGTCGTCGCTCACGCGCGCCCCGCTTGTCTCGAACGAGGACGCGGAGAAGCCGCCAAAGTCTGTCACCACTCCGTCTCCTCAACGGCACACGCCACACGCGCGTGATGAGTCGCGTTCGATCGACGGTCGACGGTTCATCGACAGTCTGAGGTGTGTTTTTCACGCACCCCTCGGTTTCAACATTTGATCGCGTCCCCTTTCAACTCGCCGATGAACATATTATTTCGCTTTCGTACGGATCGCACCCGATCGCCGACATCTTCCCTCGGGCGCGCCGACGAAACCACGACACTCCGCCACCGCGCGCCGTCCTCCCTCCACCTCTCTCCCGCGCGCCCCCCCGCGCTACTCCTCCGATGCCCGCCGTCCTCGCGCTCGCGTCTCGCGCGCACGCGATCCCCCGCGCGGCGATCGTCCGCGCGCGCGCGCCGCGCCGCCGCGCCGTCCGCGCGTCGTCCGAAGCGGACGCGGTCGAGACTTCTAATAAAAAGGGCAGCGCGCGAGCCGCGCCGAGGCAGAACGTCGCCGTCGGCGGGCACAACCCCACGGGCGGCGCGTCGGAGATGGACGAAGCGCGCGTCGTGGACCCGTATGGCCTCGTCGAGGACGTGATGACGGCCCCGGCGGCGACGCTGACGCCCGAGCTCGAGCTGGAAGACCCGACCGTGGTCGAGTTTCTCGAGAGGTACAAGGGCGTCCCGGTCGCGAGCGCGGAGAGCGGCGAGTGCGTCGGCGTCTTGTCCCGGCGCGACGTCGAGAAGCTGAAGAACGGCGAGAAGGTGGGGATCACCGTGGAGGACATCATGAGCCATCCTCCGTTCTGGTGCGTCGTCGTCGTCGCTCGCCTCGGCGTCGGTCGAAAACTTTTCGCTCAGTCCTCTCCCCTCCCGTCCCCTCCTCCTCCTCGCTCCTTCGCAGCGTCCGACCGCACGCTCACATCGCGGAGACCGCGGGGATGATGCTCATGCACCGCGTGCATAGGCTCCCGGTCGTGGACGATAAGAAGAAGTCGATCGGAATCGTCACGCGAACGGACATCTTCGAACCGCTCATCGCGAAGCGCGACGACCTGCTTCAGGACCAAGCCGAACGACGGTGCGACGACGACGACGAACGCGACGATCGTCTCTCGGTCGATATTCGAGAGACACCACGCGACCCTCGCCTTCGTCCCGACGACCGAGAGCCCGCTCGTTTCAAAGCACCCCAGCGCGGGTGAGGACCCGATCACGCCGTCGATGAGACTCCCACCCACGCCCGCTCGTCCGGGCAGCTCGGCGCATCGCGACTGGCGTTTGGCGGCGAAGCCCGCGACGCGGCCGCGCGCGTTCGACCGCGGCGCGCCGCTCTCTCGACCGCCGACGCCGACGTCCGACGCCCCGGCGTCCGACACTGTGGTGTCCGACACAGAGAGACTGACGACCTCGTCGCCGCGTCCGAACCCGAACTCGAACCCGAACCCGAACCTCCCACCGGCAGCGTCCCGTGACGCGCCGCGCAGAGCCGCGGCGGCGGCGGAGTCGTTAACGCGGCGTCACGACCCGCGTTCCGGAGTCGGCGCGGGCGAGAGCTGGGAGGAGGACGAGGACGACGCGCGACGCGCGCGGGAGATGCGCGACGACGACGACGACGAGCTGTGGTGAGCGAGTGGTGATGTGTAGAGTAGATGGTACGCGTGACGACGTCACGCGCGCGTGTCGATAGCACGAGCGAACGATGAACCCGCGCCGTCGGGACCGACCCGTCCAGAGTCAGCTCGCGAGGCACAAGCAGCCAGGCCGGCGGGGGGAAAAATCCCGAAACGTCCGTCGGTTTCCCGGTCCGAATTAGGAGTAATCCATCCTTTCGCGACTCGCTCGGGCGCCGCGGCGGCCACACCGGCGAGCGCGGCGTCGCTCGACCGTTCCGTCGATACGCGCCGCGGGCGTGTTGTCGTAGTCCGTCGGGATCGCCGGACGCGCAGCGAACGATGACGCGCGCGGACTACGGCGAAGACGCGCCGAGCTCGCCGCGCGTGCTGAATCAGTGCGATCCGTCGTCGACGGTCGTGTTCGAGACGAGAGACAGCGTGGGATGGCGGCAGTGGGACCCGAAGCACGAGAAGAACCTGTGGGTGTCTAGACCCGCGGATCGCGGCCCGCTGAGCGCGGTGGAGGTGGCGCGCATGGTCCGCGACGCGCCGCGCGTGAAGACGCCGCCGCGGGATCCCTCGGTCGCGATCCCGGACGATCGCCCGTTCCTCCCCGTGTCGTCGCTCCGGCCGGCGTACTACCCCACGGAGCGCGCCGCGCGCGCCTTCGCGGACACGTACGAGCGCCCGACGACCGCGGGCGCGACGGTGTACCGCGTGAAGCGCTTCGGACCGGGGGAGACCGGGGACGGCTTCGCGAGCGGTCGCCGGTCGTCTGAATCGGCGTCGAGATCGAGCTTTTCGCGTCGGCCGTCCACCGCGAGACTCTCCGAGTCCTCCGCGTCGCTCGCGGCGTACGTCAAGCTCGCGCGCGACGACGACGTCGAGCTCGACGCGCGCGCGAAGCGCCAGGTCCACGTCGCGGTGTCGGAGCGCGCGTACACTTCGCACACGGCGCGGCCGACGACGGCGCCGGCGTCGCGAAACGACGGCGGGTTCGCGCGGAATAAGACGTCGCACGCCGCGCGCGCGGGCCGAAGCTCGAGCGGCCTTCGCGGGGAGTGGCGCGGCGCGCACTTCGCCGCGAGCGCGAAGGACGCCGTCGTCGTCGCGGAGGTGGACGCGGACGTTTCGCGCGGGGGCGGCGGCAGCGGGGGCGGGGTGGGGAGGTACGGGATCGCGCGCGCGCTGCGGGACGCGAGCGAATCGCACAAGGGCGACTCGACGCGTTGCCGGTCCCTGGGCGGGCTCACAGGAGGCGCGCCGAGGGAGAGGGAGCCCGCGCGCGGGACGTTCCGCGCGCGGGGGGGGAAACCGCGGCCGTCGAGCGCGTTCGTGCGCGAGGAGACGACCGCGGGGGAGGTGCGGTCGACGACGCGGCCGATGAGCGCGTTCGTCCGCCGCGGCGGCGGCGGCGGAGAGACGACGCCGCGCTCGACGACGCGCGCGTCGGCGTCGACGTCGACGTCGACGCGCGCCGTCGGGAACGGCCTCGGCGGCGGCGGCCTCCCCGTGGACGACGACCTTCTCGCGACGCTCACGGTCACGCCGAGTAAGTTCTCGACGAAACCCGCGTCGCACCTCTCCGGGGGGGCGGGGTTTGGGGCGAAGAAGAGGGCGTCGTTCGCGCGGTCAGTTCGCCGGAGCGGTTCGCCGGCGTCGTCGGAGACGTCGTCGGCGTTCGCCGGGGACGGGGACGGTCGCCCGCAGGCGATGATATCGTCGTCCGCGCACTTGAAGCGGGTGAAGGACATCGGGAGTTCGCTCAACGCGCGACAGATGCGGTGGGTCGCGCGGACGATGGAGACGACGAGGAAGGCGATACGGGAGGAGCGGTCGTACGGAGGGGATTCGAGCGACGGGGCCGCGCGGGCAGCGATGGAGACGTGACAGAAACAGATCTGATTCTGATGACTCAAAAACGTAAACGCCGCGCCGCGAACATCGGATCGTCCGTCGTCGTCGAGCCGAGTCGCCGCAGGTTTCGCGCGCCACTCGTTCGCGCGCGATGGGGAACGGGTCGCGCAGCCGACGGCTGCGGGAGGCGATGGCCGCCGGGACGGCCACCGCGGAGGCGGGCGATGACCCGAACGCGGCGCGGAGGGCGCAGAAGAAGGCGCACAAGGCGAGGCAGCGGCGACGGAAGAACGAGCGACGGCACGACGCGGTGCGAGCCATCGTCTCGAGGTTAGCGCCGCCGGCGAGCGGCGACGCGTTCACGCCGCTCGAGAAGACGAGGGCGTGGGACGGCGCGCCGCCGATCGACTGGTCGACGATGCGCGCGTCGTGCGACCCGGCGAAGATGGCGTACGACGGCGACGAGGCGAGCGCGAGCGCCGCGAACGCCGCGAGCGCCGCCGTCGTCACCGTTCGCGCGAAGAGGAAGCGCTGGCAGGTGGAATCGTTCGCGGTCGTCCTCCGCGAGCTCCAGCGCGAGCACGAGCGCGGCGGCGGCGGCGGGAATGGCGGCGACGACGCGCGACGGCTCAAGGTTGTGGATTTCGGCGCCGGGAGCGGGAACCTCACGCTCCCTCTCGCGGCGGCGTTCCCGTCGATGGACTTCGTCGCCGTGGAGATGAAACGTCGAAGCGCGGATCTCGTATCCCAACGCGCGGCGGCGGCGGGGCTGAGCAACGTGACCGTCCTGTGCGGGATGATCGAGCGCGCGGAGATCGGGCCGTTCGACGTCGGCGTCGCGCTGCACGCGTGCGGGAACGCGACGGATCACTCCATCGCGCGGTGCGTGCGCGCGAACGCTGCGTTCTTAGTGTCGCCCTGCTGTATCGGCAAGCTCAAGTTTTCCATCGCCGGCGGGTCGTCGTTCAGCGCAAACGTCGTCGACTACAAAGACACCGCGCTCGGCTCCAGACCCGAGCGCGAGGCGGGGGCGGGCGCGGCGGCGACGAAAGCAAGCGAAGACGCGAGGAACGACGACGTCGTCGTGTGCCCGCCGGTCGAGGCGATCACGCACCCGCGGTCGCGATGGCTGTCGACGCAGCTCGCGAGCGAGAATGAATTCGCCGCCCTCGCGGCGGCGGCGGACACGGGCCACGCCGCCGGCGTCCCCGGCGGCGACGCGCCGTCCGACGACGTCCTCGACATCGGACGCGCCGCGAAGACGCAGGTGGAGCTCGATCGCGCGGAGGGCGCGAGGGAGGCTGGGTACGTCGTGAGAACGCTCGCGGTGCTCAACGCCGCGGAGGCGCCGCCGAACAAGTCGGACCTCATCGTCGGCGCGCGGAGGGGGCGGTGGCGAGACGCGTTCGAGCGACTCGCGGTGGCAGTGAGTGCTTAATTCGTAATAAAAATACACGATGACATCGTCGTCGTCGTTAGTTCTATCGCACGCTTCTAGCTAATCGGCGTCTGCTTCTCTTTCCCTCTTCCTCCGCCTCGCGCCGCGGATGCGGCTTTTTCCTTCTTCTCCGCGGCGCGCGCGCGGTCTCTCTCCTCCTTCTCCTTCTTCTCCTTCTCCGTCTCCGTCTCCTCGAACGTCTTCAGCTTCCGTCGCTTCGGGCCGAACGGCCCGGGCGGGGGCGCGTACCCCGGCACCGCCCTCCCGAGCGCGCGACGTAAGATCCCTCGTAACTTCCGCGCGTCCTCGTGCGCGACCAGCCCGGGCTCGTTCGCCTTGGTCGCGTTTTCGAGCATGACTTCGAAATCCGACGCGAAATCCCCGGCGCTCCGGTGCTCGCCGCTGATGAGCCGCGCGGCGATCGTCGCGAGGTCCACGGGCACGGCGATCTGTTCGTGGTACCCCGGGTCGTCTTCTTTCGACGGCGCGCGGTAGAACAAGTCCGCGAGCCGCCGCCCGTGCGCGTCCGCGTGCCGTTCGATCGTCTCCATCACCCGGCACATCGTCTTCGCCGTCGTCGCCGTCAGCGGCGCGCGCATCGCCGCCGTCTCCGGAAGCCACAGCGTGGGGCTCTTCGGCCCGGGCGGCTTCGGTTCTCGCGCGTGCCCGCCCTTGTCGAGGTCGTTCAGCCACTCCTCCTCCAAGTCCGCGATGTACCGAAGCTTGTGCGCGCCGGATTTTTTGTCGTGCGCGGTGCACAACGCAGCGTACCACGCGTCGTCTTCGGCCCAGTAGACGGAGAGACGCCTGCCGACGAGGCTCTCGCCGCGCGGGGGAGCGCGCGTCTCTTTCCCGCGCGCTCCTCCCTGCGTCGTCGCGTCTCCGTCGGCGACGTTCGCGGCGGCGGCGAGGGGCACGAACGCTTCGATCGCTTTCGCGCGGAACAGTTTCCTCAGCGCCGCCGCGTCGTCCGCGACGGTGGTACTGAACGTGTTCCCGGCGCGCGGGGACTTGCCGGCTTGCTTTTCGTTTTCGTGCGCGAAAAACGCGAAGAGGTCCGCGTTGTCGAACACCCACTCGCACTCCGCGCAAAACTCTCGAACGCTCGCGTACGCCCTGTGCTTCGTCTTCCGCTCGATGCTCTCGAGGTCGACCGGGTGCGACGCCTCGTCGTAGTACTCCGGGTGGCGCGACTTTGGAGGGAGCCGGCGGCAAAACGACGCGTCGAGAAATCGCTTCTCGCCGCCGTCGCCGCCGCAGTCGTCGTCGTCGCGCGCGCCGTGGAGAATGTCCAACACCGCGAGGCAGCGCTCGGATTCCGCCGTCGAGAGTCGCGGTCGACGCGTCGGGGACGACGCCAAGGAGGGAGCGTCTCCGGCGCCGACGGCTCGCGACGTCACCGGTTTCGCGATGAGCGCCTCCGCGGCGGCGGCGGCGTCGAGCCTCGCGCGCGCGTCGTCGTCCCGCGTCGTCCCGGGCCGCTCTGGCGAACAGCCGCCTCGCGCGCCGGGGAGGGATAAAACGTCGAGAACACCGCCAGGGATCGGCGCGCCGACCTCGATGTTGTACTTTCGAGCCATGTACTCCGACGCGATGCCGTTCGGTCGCCGTCCGCTCTTTGGCTTCGGAACCGGCGACGGCGTCGGCGTCGGCGGCGTCCCTCGGCGGGTCTTCCCGCGCTCCGCCCTCGCGTCGGTCGTCATCCCCTCGTCGTCCTCCGTCTCGATGGCGATCTCGATGACGTTCGGCGCCGCCTTCGCCTTCTCTCTCGCGCGAGGACGCGTCTTCGCCGCGTCGCTGGCTCTGCCTCCGCCCGTCGGCCGCGCGGACGCGATCTCGTCGAGCGTCGAACTCCTCGGCGGCGTGTCCGGGAGCGCGCCCGCGGTCCACCCCTCGCTCGACCCAGACGCGTTCGCGTCCACCGCGCACTCGATCCCGACGCGCCGCTCGTACCGCTCGTACAGACGCGTCAGCGTCGACTTCGACGAGCTCTTCACCGGGGTGGGCGCGTGGGGGGGCGCCGCGGTCGCGGTCGCGGTCGCGGTCGCCGCGCGCGCGCCGGGGTGGTCCCACGCCGTCACGCGGTTTCGAAGCGTCCACTCATTCAGCATGTGCAGCGGAACGTTCGCCTCGCGCGTCCAGCGCGACGCGTCGTCCGCGGCGGCGGCGGCGGCGGCGGCGGCGGATAAGGACTCGCACGGGACGACGAGATACTCTCTCTCGGTGACGCCCGTGAGCTCGTCGATCGCGACGCGCTCGCGAACGATGTGCCTCGGCGGCTCGTCGGCGGCGGCGGTTCTCCTCGCGCCGCGTCGCGCGGGCCACGCCGCCAGCGCGTCCCACCGCACGTGCGCGTGGAGCGCTCGAAGCGACATCCCGAGCGCCGCGACGGATCGCGCGCGCTCGACCTCGCCGATCCACGCGCTCCTCGACGTGCGACGGACCCACTCCGCGCCGCGCGCTTTCCTTCTGTCGCCGCCGCCGTAGACGCCGTGACGCGGCTCCAGCCGTCTCACGCCGGCGGTTCTCGCGAGCTTTCGAACGACGTCGCGCGGGAGCGACACTGCGGCGCGGTGGAACAGCGAGGGCGGCACGAAACGCCCGAGCTCGGACGGCCCGACGCCGTCGCCCTCTAGCACGAAGTTCCGGTCGTCCTCCTCGTCGCGCGGGGCGACTTTCTCGTCCACGAAGGACGCGTGCCACGCGTCTTCGAACGCGTTGACGTGCGTCGCGCGCTCCAACTGAAGCAGCCTCGGCGCGAGGTCGGACGCGAACGCGGCGTCGCACACGGACGCGATCCACCCTAAACGCCAGGATTGGTCGCCCCAGCGCCCGCCGAGGACGCCGAACAGGTCGTGCTCGAGCTGCAGCAAGAGGGTTTTCACCGAACCGAGCTTGCACGTCGCCGCGGAGGCGTCCGCGGTGGTCAACGTCGTGATGAGCGCCGACGACGGCGGCGGCGACGGCCAGTCGAACCTGTACGCCGCAGCCACCCTGTCGATGAAGTTCGGGCCGCGCTGCGCGACGGTCGCGTCCAACCCCGTCGCTCTCGCGAGCGCGAGGTGACGCGCGACGGCGTAGCGGTTGTCGTACTCCACCGCGAGTTTCCACGCGGCGTCGCCTCGCCAGTCCACGACGCCGTCTTCTCCCCCCGTCGTCGTCGCCACCGCGCGGGACATCGCCGTCGCCGCCGCGAGGCCCCGCGGGCGCCCGTCCGCGCGGAAAAAGTCGTCGTCGCCGTCGTCGTAAGAGGATACGATGACGTCCATCGCGACGTCGAGGTCGTCGCCGCCGCCGTCGATGCCGGAATCGAATCGCAATCGAATCGAGCTGCGTCGGTCGCCGCGAAGAACGGGCGGCGACGCCCCCGCCGTCGCGGTTTCCCTCGCCGCCGTCGCCGCCAACTCCCACGCCGTCCTCGCGTCGTTCTCAATCTTCGCGATCCCTCGCTCCGTCACCGCGCCCGTGTGCTTCAACACGGCGAACATCTTCGCGTCCATGGGGTGCTGCGGGATCTCGTCCCCGACGACGGGGCCGAGACGCGCGAAGGCGCCGCACGCGGCTTCGTCCGTGACGTGGGTCACCCCGCCCGCGCCCTCGCGCGGGTCGGCGCAGAAGAGCTTGCCGTGGGAGACCCAGTACGGTCGCCCGCTCGCGTCCGCGCCGAGCTGCGGGACGCGAAGCGGGGGGTTGTGCGCGATTCGCATGCGCGGGTCGTCCTGTTGTGGTGAAGGTGAAGGAGGCGATGGGGGGGGGGGGGGGGGCCCCACCCAAGAAATCCATTGGATCGGATCGTATCGCGCGCGTCCCCCCCGGGGAGGCGCGGCCGGGAAATGTGGCGGGGGCCTTTGGGAACGTCCGGTTCCCTCTGGAATGTCCCCCTAAAGTCCCGGGGGTTCTTTTGCCCTCCAAGGGAGAAAGGTCGAGGGGGGACCCCTCCAAAAAAAACCCCCCCCCCCCGGGATCTCAAAAGGGCGGGTACGGGGAAAAAAAAAAAAAAGCCACCAGAGAAAAAAAAACCCAAACCCACCTTG